TAGCTAGCTAGCTAGCTATCTACCTACTTATCTGTCTATTTATCTGTGCATAAAGATATAATATGGGCAAGCCGCGCAAGACGACAGGCATCTGTAAACATACGGATGGTTAATGGCATACTTACATACATACATACATACATACATACATACAGACATACATACATACATACATACATACATACATACATACATACACGAATTATTATACACGCACTCATATGTATATATACATATATATATATATAAGGTATGTGTGTGTGTATATATGTATGTATGTATACATGTACATCATACATCATAGAATATGCTGGACTGTCACTCCGTTTAAGACCATCAACGTCTAGTGGCTTGAGCCAGAGGACGTGCTCACTCACTCCAACTTAAAGTCCGCAATGCGGCGAGGTGCGGTGAGTTCTTTGCCAAGCCTTTGCAGAAGGAGCCGTGGTTGGAGGTCGATGCAGATGCAGCCGTCATGGGACACGGTGAAAAAGTCTAATGTTCGAATCAGAACTGCCTGCAGGGTGAGGCCCCACTTGTCACTGGCGGCCAGCTTTCAAGCCTCATTGGGCATCACTCAGTCATGGCCCCGTGGCAAGCTGCAGTGAGCATGTCTCCAGCAAGACGTGAGTTTGCAGATGACAGCAGATCTTCGCTACAGGTCAATGTCCTACTCCGCCTGTTGACGACCAAGCATGGCACCCGGCTGCTGCATCACCGTGACCGTCACGGTCGTTTTGCTCACCATCGCTTCCGACACTTCCGGACTCTTTGTCGAGGTTGTTCCTCGCCTCCTCACGGCATGCAGTCCGAAACCCATACAGGGTCTGCTTCGTGGTTAATGTCGGTGCTGGGAGATGTGAGCCGCATTGCAGGAGTGTTGTAGGCTTCAGGCGGCTTCAGGGTCCAGTCTGCAGCATTCTTCCGAGCAAAAGGCATGGCTTCTTGCCATCCTCCATTCGCTGCTGGTACCCGTCAAGGCCGTAAACACTGCTTGGCAATACTGAGCACTGGCTTGCATTTTTGAGTTTGCTGGCCAGGGAAAGAAGGACGACAAGTCTGCAGAAGCGTCAGGAGGACAGGATGAGGCCTGTCTGCAGTGCCTAGCAGGTACCCTAGACACTCGGCAAGCAAGTCGAGCCAAAGCGGCATGCAGGGAGACTCTTGACAAACGCGAGATGTTGTTTTCAGCCAAATGTGGTCATTGAAGGCAACTCCCGAGGTGCCCGGCGAGGAGGAAGACAAGGTGCTGCGCTCCGTTTTGGCATTTCTCAGCCTTGACAGACATTTGGGCGTGGCCAGGATGGGAAGACCAAGAAAGATCCGCCGGCAGAGCAGCAGAGCTTGGAGCGTGGCGAGCCCAGAAGCTGGCTGTGCCGTGCTGTCAGATGTCATCTTTTCCGGAAGAAGATGATGCATTTACTGCAAAGCAGAGGGATTTGAGACGCAACAGGCCTTAGGCGGGTACAGGAGTAGTGTGGAAAACGGGGGCAGGAGCTTTTTGGGAGGTCTGTAAGTATGTGTATCCATAACTGTTAACTCTGACTCCGGCTCAAGTTTCTCTGGCCGGTTTCCGTGGCGTGGCACGAGACCCGCGCCGGTGCGACTGTCAAACCATTCAACCCAGGAAACCAGAAGTTGGAAGTAGGGTGTGCAATGACTCGAAGCCGAGCTCGGCTGCGACCTGCAAGCGATGGACATCGGCTCTCTCCCTCCTGACACACCTCGAGTCTCAGCGGTCAGTGGCGATCCGAAGTTACAACTCAGTGTTGTCCTGTACCCGTGGCGACTGGAAGCGGGCCGTGCAGGTGCTGCGACAGATTCAGGTCAGGAGATTGCAAACCTCAGTCGTCACCTATGGTTCAGCCATTGCTGCTTGTGAGCGCAACCGACCGGAATTGCAATGGAAGCAGGCCCTGCAACTCTTGAGTGCTTTACATACGGCGCCTTTCAGGGGTAACCTCGTCACGTACAGCTCAACAATCAGTTCTTGTCAGTCGATCGATTCCTGGACGGTGGCTTTGATGTTGCTTTCACGATTGCAGGAAATACACCTGGAATCCGATGTCATAATTTACAGCGCTGCTATAAGCTCCTGCGAAAAGGCTGCAAGATGGTTGCAAGCTCTACAGCTTCTCGCGGACATGCAGAGTGCTGTTGTGCAGCGAGATGTGATCGTCTATAACTCTGCCATCAGTGTGTGTGAGAAAAGCGGTGAGTGGCAGTGGGCCCTCTGGCTTCTGTCACAAACTGATGCGCAGAAAGTGCGCGTAGACGTGGTAACATACAGCACAGCCATCAGCGCGTGCGAGAAGCGTGGCTTGTGGCAGCATGCCATGCTTCTGTTCAGAGACCTGGTGCACCGGAGTTTACGAGGGAACGTCATCACTTACAGTGCACTGATCAGTGCGTATGAGAATGCGGGACTTTGGGAGCTGGCAGTGGCATGTCTCAGAGACCTGGTCCAGTCTGAACTACAACCGGATGTGGTTATTTACAGCGCCGCTTTAAGCGCATGTCAGCAGGCATGCCGGTGGAACAAGGCGATGTCTTTGTTCCAGGAGCTGCATCAGCTTCGGATACAGGCGACGCTGGTAACCTATTCCGCAGCTTTGAAAGCATCCGTCGCCGTGAGCCACTGGCGTTGTGCACTGTCACTGTTCGGCCAGCTTGCTGCTTGGACAGCAGGAAACCTGATCACCTCAGAGCTGGCAGTCGCCGCATGTGAGCAGGGCATGCGCAGCGGTAGTGCTTTGAAGCTACTGGCCGACGTCCCGGACAGGGGGCTGATCATTTTGCAGAAGAGCCGGAGGTTTCAAATCTGCCTGAGCAGGTCCATCGCAGGCGAAGGATTTTGACATGGGTATAGAGCCACCGAGGTTGGACGCTGATCAACAAGAGCATGCACGCCGTGCTGTCCCAAGAGAGTGTGCGAGCCTCAGCTGCCAGGCGAAGGCGCACGGCATGCTTGCGTCTGAGTCTGGCTTGTGACTCTCGGATGCGAGGTCCTGGCACTGTGCCACTTCCTCTGCCAAGCGGGAAGCGGCCACGGATCTACCGGAGAGGCGAGTAGTGAAACAGTGCAGTGGGCAGTTTGCAGTCAGTGTGAGACCCATGCCTTCTGAAGGCAGACACCTTCCAAATGGCGGGTGAGATTCTGGTGGCTCTCGCTGCCTCGCAGGCGAGGTGCAGCAGAGTAGCGACATACTTAAAACATCAAAACAATCACCAATCACCACTGCTAGCTGAGGAGCACCTCACCATGGTGCGGGCAGACCTCATGCGGGTCTTGGCCGACCTGGCACCGGCCTGAGAGTTGAACCGCCCAAATGGGAAGCCCGCGTCCTCACCCCAGAATTCCTCTTTCCTTAGGTCACCAACATCGAAGCAGATTTGGCCAAGTGCGAACCTGGCTCGACGGATCCTTCCACCATGGAGACGCGACTGCTGCGCCTTGTGCGCACCCTCGCCGAGGCAGAAGTTCCGTGAGCTCCAGGTCACATCTCGGAAACGGATCTCCCAGACCTGAATCACTCAACACACACAGACACAAGGAAGGCCTTAACGAATCCTGAACAGCACTGGGCAGTCGGTTCCAATGGTTTGTATCGGCTGGTGTCATTGCAGTTTTGGGGCCAGCACTGACCATGTCGGGGTACAGGGTCGTGAAGAGCTGGGGTTGTTTCAGCAAATGGACCGCTTTTTGCTTTTGTCGTTACAAGCCATGTGCGCTCTGAGCAGATGGCAGGTCTTCAAGGAGGCCGCGAAAGCCAGTGCGGATCAGGAGAGCTCCTGATATGCAGCCGACAAGTCAGGCATGTGCCTACTGTGAGTCTCGGGCGCTGAACTCAACAGCGCTCTGAAAACGAAGCTTCTGGCAGGAGCTTAAGATCGAGGACTTCCTCGGGGAAGCTCGCTTGGAGGACCTTTGGACGTCGCTGGCTGGTGGCCCAGCTTTGCGCCTTTCCATGCCATGGGCCAGTGCCTAGTGCATACCACCTCTATACCTCTGTCATCGCATAGGGGCAGCCTTTCAACGACCCCGTTGTCCATTTTGCTCGCTACCACCAGTGCCCATACAGGATGTCTAAAGCAGATGAGAGTTGTTGAGATCGCCGAGGATCAGACCTTGGACCGGCTCCACGACACAGAGGCACGGGTGCTCAGATTCAGCTGGAAGACTCGTCGGTTCAAGCTGACTAATTCAGGTGTTTGCGACGCCAGCGCAGCGCATCCTCTCCACTGGGGCCTGGCTTCCACGCTTGCAAACTCGGATAGCTAGGATTGGATTGCTGTTCAAGTGGCTCTCAGCAGGTCTCATCACAAGCCAGGTTGCACCTTCCCAGCTGCGGATTGAAAGCTCCACCGGATCCAGCATGAGTCTGAACCTCAGACCACCACAGCTGCGATTAGCGAACATGAACATGAGCCTATGGAGCAGCTGCTCGGTTGAAAGACTTGCAAAGCGTGGCTGAAAGGTGGAACTTTGGCATCGAATGTGCAGACAACTCCTCCGAAGCCGCTGCTCAACAGGCTCAGAGAATTGGAAGCGGCGCTTGCTCAGTGACCCGGTGTTCGTGGACTGAAGTCCATCCTACATTATCATATGAGACGCTGTGCAGGCTGCTGCCATTGATCGAGGCGAGATGTGCGAGGTGCAGGGAGAGTTGCTTTGAGTCCCCGCACTCTGAGGCATTCTTCGTGCTTCACAACGGCTCCAAAGAAGCAGACCTCGAAGCAAAAGAGAAGGACACGACCAAGCCGTCACTGCTTCCGGCACCACGAAGCGAAACACAACCACAACGGAGTATTGCTTGCTGCTCGCGCGTCAGGACAAGAAGAAGGCCCACGAACAGGAGGCGAGGAGTTGGGTGGATTTGGCTGCATAAACTCTTTGCGACGAGCACCTCTGTCCTGCTCGGAGGGTGGCTCATCCTCCAGCTGTCCTGGGAAGCAGGTCTTTGCCGACCTTACTGAGGCAAACTGCCGGCAAGTGACGAGCTGGAGCTTCAAGACGACTCGAGTGCATCGCAGGTGACTTTGGTGGAGAGGAGTCGATTTGGCCAGTCGGGCCCTTCAGTGTTGCGGCACCTTGCGAACAGCCTCTGCAAATAAACTGAGGTCAGCATCCAGGCAAACAGGTCAAAATTCCGTATATTGCTAGTGCGCATGCAGCGCACATATAATAGCAAGTCGGCTTGAGCGTTCTGCATGCGGAGCTTCCCTGCCAAGGTTCTGCAAGCAGCATCGGCGGCCGCTGAACGCCTTATCCTCAGATTCTGGCACGACCCTAGGATCATTGTCAAGATAGCGGGCGGCTCAGATTCTACAGGCATGGTTTGCTCAGGCATTGATCAAGCAGACTCCCTCACTCTTGAGCAAGTCCTTCTCGCCTGTGCCGCTTGGCTTTGTGCTGCAGCTGGCGGTACTGCATGCCATCGTATTATCTCCTTAGCAAGGTTGAAGCACATGCCGCACTGCCTGGACTTTGACAACAAGCGGGCTTACTTCCGATCTCAGCTGAGGCCAACGCCAGGCTATTTTTTGCTCTTCCTTTAGGGTGAGAAGCTGGCAGGTCCAGGCGGATGGAGAGCCGCTATGAGACTATTCGCCTTCGCGTGAGGCCTGGTGTGGGAAGCTTTGAGAGAGCAATGGCAAGTTGCTGGGTAACAGCCGGACTGCTCAAAAGTGTTGCGACTTGTTGCGACTGGCCGAAACAGGCGGTCTGAGATCTTCATGGATTCTTACCACCAGCTGCCAGGCACTTAGTATACTTGCTCCCAGGCACGTCACGTTCGGTGGTATGTCACTGTGAGGTAGAGCTTCATGCGGTCATAATGCACCTCTTGCCCAGGAGGAACAGGACCGGTGAAGAAATGCGTGCGAAGATCCAGGCGAGCCGCTGCGCAGTCTGCCGCTAGTGACGAAGTGACATCACCCGTGCATACGAGCAAGAGCCCCGTGAACCGCAACAGAAATTAGGGCAAATGCGACATGCCACCACACGCCCCAAGCCTGCATGCTCAAGTCCGTCACTGGACAGGATTACTGAAAGGACACACACATACACACCATCAAACACGCCTTTTTCAGACCTAGGACCTGGGGTCTCGACATCACCTGCTTGAGCTGTGTGGCTTTTGGTTACATGCATCTGGAGGTAGTAGTGGTGCAATCTGGCTGCTCGTTCCGAGGGGCTTGATTTTATCGGTCGCAGAAGTCCGTTCAGTTTGGCTTACACCGGCAAGCATTGCCTCCAGTATGGGTTCGATTGAATTTGCAGCAGCAGTTCGCACAAGTTGCACGAACCTGCAACGCAAGTCACCCTTGCCTTGGCAGGGTTGCCCCAACATGTGTTCCTGCGGGATGTCATTGGTTCTGCATCCTGAATCCTGACAATCTCCCGCCTAGCAGCCCCTTTCAACGCGAGGGATCTTCACGAGCCATGCCATGATCTTGAAGAGTTCTGCTACTAGCTGCTAGCTCGATTTAGATGCCCGTATGGTCTCGGAACTCACTGCAGATCAAGATGCATGAGCGCGGCAGGTGCAATTCCAGGGCGAGGAAGGCCATGGACTCAGCACCATCAACCGGAGTGTTGAGGTCCATGATTCCATGATGGTCCATGTCGAGAAACCTCGCTTTCCCTTCGACTTGTAGCAGGAATCGATGCTGGCGGCGTTGGAAAGGCCGGTCCGTGTGCTTTCGTTGGCCGCAACAGTCACAGGCGTTCGCTTCCCGTCTGAAGATGCCCGCCCTTCCCAAAAGCGGTCCTGATCTAGTAAGTTCCGGCCCTTCAAACTTCAAGCCAGCAGGTTTCGTTTCGGGCGATGCCTGAGGGGATCGACGTAAAAGACGAAAAGTTCGTATCTTCCACGAGCACCCGTGCTGCGAAAGTCCAATGTCTGAGCGTCGCCGAGATTGGCCAATCAATTTTGCTCACATGGCAGGAGTGGTATGGGGCCCTTGCCAAAGAGATTTTCAATCCCAACTATGCCAAGAGCTCAGTGGCTTCGCGGCCGGCTTCAAGCTGCAAGCATGGCGAGTCCGCATCACCGCACGAATGCTGATGGTTGAGAGTTGATACCGGTTCCCAAAGTTGTCGGTCCCCCGACTGATCTGGTTCACCTAGACTAGACTCTGGAACTGTTGAGGCACTTTTTGTCCAAGCTGGCGGCAAAGCCTGCACTTACCACCCGAACCCGATGTTGGGGCCTCATTGTCTGTAGCATCAACAGCATCCCAGCTGAGATCCAACAGCTCAATGAAGCGCCTTGTGGTTGAGGTCCTATGTGACGAGAGATCATCTAGACTTCTTCCACTTCATTGGACGGGTGATTGGCAAAGCGATCCATGATGCTCAGAACTTGGAGGCCCGCAAGCCCAATCAGAGTCGTGGTAGAGGCAAATGTTGCTTCTGTGCCAGGCCTGGTTTACTCGGGGCTTCTACAAGCACATGCTGGGCAAGAAGGCCCCACCACACCATTGCCAGCGGGTTAGACGGTGGTGAACTGGTTGACCAGCTAGCGGCCGTGCGCTCTTCAACGGTTTTACAATTGTGCACCCAGCCCGCTTGCCTCTCACATTCTGCTTCACTCTGGTTGCAGCATCGTGTCACTGTCTGAGCCATTGCGAGGTCATCGCTGCAGATCTAGAAGCTTTCGATCCGGAATATTTCTCCAATCTGAAGTGGATGTTGGAGCATGTGGCAGCCCAAGTTATTCAGTCACACAAGAAGAACAAGCATCCGGCAGCGCTGGTGCAAGAGAGTCGAACGCCTGGTCCGGGAGCTTCCCCACCTAAAACGTCTGTCACGTCAAAGGCTTTTTCTGTGCGAAAGTCAAGCTTGCTAGTGGCGCCACAATCTCACTCAGGACATCACCGACATCATAGAGCTCTACTTCTGTGCAGAAAGTGATGACTTTGGTCAGATCAAGGTTGGGTCCGTGCCCATGCGGAAGTCGTATTCCGAGCTCAGTAGATGAATGCACGCCGCCGTTTCTAATGCGGAGCGACTGACAGAAACTGCAACCTAGATATGTATCGTGCGGAAATTCGGTGTTTTGACAAGGTGGTCGACTTGAAGCCGAATGGTCGCAGCATGCAGCCCGTCCGCAGATTTAAAGTGACATACAGCGGGGTGATAATGCTAGACAGGAGTCTTGCAAACAAAAATAAAATGCCCGACAAAAGGCCTTGCAGTCCAGCTGTAAGGCACTCCGGAAAGGATACTTGGGACAAAATGAAGATCTAAGGCTCCACTTCGAAGCTGTGGCCAATCACAAAGATACGAGTAGGCTTTCCTGCAATTAATACGAGCCTACGACTGGCTTTGGGGCGTATCCACAGAACCGCACCCTCTCGTCAGAGTTTCTCCTTCGAAGCTTAGCCGTGCTGAGTCCTGTGACCAACGAAAACAAGTACGAGTACATCCAGCTCATGTCAGAGCACAAGATGCCGCGACCTTAGGTGATGTCGCAAGATCTGTTTATGGGTATAACGCGCAGAAGTCACTTTGGTCGCTGAGGACGAACTCTGTCCGGCAGCAGATTGACGCTTTCTTGAAGGGCCTGCATCTTAGAATCTTAGTTGCTCTCAAGCTTCTGCTGTGAACTGCGAGCTTTGGGTCCCAGAAGCTGCCCCCGAAAACAAGGGATATCATTGGAACAGTTCAGGCCTGCACGAGATCGTGCCACCCGAGCTGCTGTCGCTGTTTGACGATGCTCCGGCAAGTTTAACGGGTGGGCAACATTCGCAAAGCAATGAGGGCAAGCTCAGCTGTCAACTTCGGCTCCTGTGGAAAGTGACTGGGGCCAAGCTGAGGACAAGGAGCTGGAACTGCTCATCTCGGGACTGCCGGACATCGACATTGAGGCGGGAGAGAGCTCACCATCCCCGCGCACTGCTCCGAAAGCCTATTTTGAGGATCTCAAGGCCAATACGGAATACCACAACTACACGGCCCAGTCTTGGCCTTGGTTGCCGAAAGCCCTGTAAGCCCAAGCAGAGATGACAGGGACAAAGGGTGTGTGTGTGTGTGCGTTTGTGTAAGGTCGGACCAGATCCAGTGGCCAGCAGCTTATAGAGAGACTCGAAAGCCGCTAGAAGTGCGACGAATCTGGAAAGCTCTGAGGTTTTGGAAGGTTCTCAGCGAATTCAGTCAAGAGCAACGGGCATGGCCGAGACCCTCAGCAAAGCGCGAACGATGCTCCTTCTGGGAAGGGCTGCCCCACGAGCTTCGCCACCTGACTTTGCAGTTGCGTGCGCTTTGTCAGGTTCCTTCAGTTCGCGACTGGAACCTCTCGTGTGCCTGTGGAAGGGTTCAAGGCCGCCCAGTTCCCTCTGCAGTGTCGGACAGTCCGAACACTACCTCGTCCATGCGCAGGGTCTTGTCGGAATGCGTGGACCACAGAAGTTCTGCATCCACCGAGCCTACGGTCCTGATCGATTGCCTTCTGCCTTGGGCTTGGATTAGGTTGCCGCTGTGCATGGCGACTTGCATCGCACGTCTGGAGAATCTTCGCGTTTGTTGAGGCCCATACGTGCTTCAATCAGCCAGGGGCCTGGACGAGCCAGACAGCGTCTTGCCGTCTCAAACCCAAAAGGTCTGAAAGGGCACGCCCACGCAGCCGAGGCTCGACCTGCCCGACTATCCCTCGGAAGAAGTCCTCCGAGACAAGCTGCTCCAGGCCCTCAGCTGTCTCTCAGCGCTTTGGGATAGCTCTTGCGACCCCCGACTCTTCGAAAGCTGAAAGGGCAGACGGCTTTCTGCCATGATCGTCAGCCGAGGAGTTGGTGACGATTGCGTTGCGAGTCGAAGGGCGACGACTTACCTTAACGAGAACTGAGTTGGCCACTAAATACGCTGACGGGAGCAAATGTGGCCAACAGGTTGATCAAGCAAGTAGTGATTACGAGCGGTTGTCGGAGTTTGCCCCACCCCTGGTCACAGCAGTCAGCAGTGTGTCAGGGCACTCTGTGTGATGCGAGATAGCGACGTAGAATGGCTGGAACGGGGCAAAGTGGCGTTGGTATGTCGCATCAATCCCAGAGTGCAGCAACAGTGTAATGAGTGCGCGATGTACCCTGCAGGCGGTCCACGAAGGCCACGAAGGCTTCGGCTTTGCCTGAGGCGGCATCAATACAGCCCGCCGACCTAGACAGTTGATGACCTGGAATCGGAGTAGTGTCATTTGCAAGATAGGCGCTTGCCTTCACCAACCCTGCTATACTCTGATTCTGGGAATTTTAAGCCGATGGAGCGAGCCAGCGATACAGCCAATACTCCGCGAGGAGGAAGCACTTCATCTTGCCATTTTGCTGCAGGAAGATTCAAATGAAGTACTGGAAAACCACGAGTCCGAAGAAGAGACGGCAGCGCCGCTGCAAGCAATTCTCACCCTTTACGAAGCTTCAGTGAAAGACCCTGGAGTCATCACGTACATAGATGACATAGCCAATTCGATAGCACCTGTGGAGATGTCCAAGCTCTGCAGTCCTTCACAGTTCCTGCACAAACAGCAGGATGTGGAAAGTTGAAAGCGACTGCAACCGTGCAAGTGGCTTACGAGTCTCAGGCAAAGTAGATTCATGTCGTCTTCGTCATTCACAGGTCATTGAGTTCATTCACCCGCCGCGTCCCTGTGACGAACGCATTTCTTCTGTGCAGTAGCCAGACGTCGTGCACAACCTGGCTGCTGACAGGGACTTGGACTTCAGAAAGGTCCAAGTAGAACAGGAGTCAAGCAGGCGCCGTTGAAAATCGCCGACGTTCCTCAGATCTTGACACTGATCCACAGATATCACGATGAGTTCAGGCCATCCCATCCTAGCATTGAACAAAGCCTTTTGTTCTCAATCAGGTCCTGCTTGCACAGGCAGAGCGCTGCAAAGCAGTGCCTCTTGCCAGGCGAGTCCGGCAACCTTCAGGTGCGTGCTAGGGAACGACAAAAAACCGTAGCACTTGGAGTCTTAGAATTGAACCCATACGCCTTCAAGGCATCTCCCCGCAGCAGCACTAGCACAAGATAGCACAAGTGTTTTTGATTTGAGAGGCCATTGCATTTAGGACGTACCGCATTTCAATTCGCTGGGCCGGCGCTTTGCCATGTTTGGCACAGGGCAACGAAGCGACCCATGAAGCAACGTGCTTACTGCAACGGCCGAGTCTCCAGCTACTCCACTCTTTCGTAAGTTTGACTGAGGCTCTTCTTGCTGCTTCCTTTCGCCTTTGCACATGGCCCGTTGAAGGCTACTTCGGTTACTTTGGGGCTTGAGGAAATCTTGTCGGAGTGAGAGGGGGGCGGTGCTGCTATTGCTGCCACTGCTGGAAAGTTGACCAAACGCCCATTCCTCTTCTGAATCATCAACCACATCCCGCTCAGGAACTCCTTCATCCATTGGGGCCTGGCTGGATCCGTAAGGAGTCCTTGCAGAAGCTTCCTGCCCCGGCCTCGCTGGTTTTGAGTCGCAGGGATGTTGGAGTTGTGAATGTCAAGCTTCAGTGGGTTGCTGGGCTCCTGTAGGTATCAATATCTCCCCGCGGTGAAGCTGCCATTCATCTGCTCAATGGCACTGCGATTGCAGCGATCACTGCGGCAGCAGGGCCACCGAGTTGGATTGCACCCGAGCATGACATCAGAAAAGGCAACTGCCAGTGTGTCCGAGGACGACTGGACCCGCGTCCGGCACGTACTCCCTGGAAATGACACACAGAGGCTTGGCCAATAATTTTGCATGGCCTTTGTCTTCCTTTCCATGCCTGTACTGGTAGTCTCGAGCGGAATGATGATCACAGAACTCCTCACATTGGCACAATTCCACGTACGTCCCCAGCAGCTCGTTGAAGCCGAGCTCAGCTGCCCCAGGGCAACGTTGGCGCAGCTGGGGACCACGTTATACCGGTCAGGTATGGCGGATATCTCAGGTGCAGTTTGATCATTTTTGATCCATGGTTCAAGTTTTCCGCGCATCGGAACTTGGAGATGAGTATGCCATGCCAGGGACAACACTGTTCATCTGGCTGGGAACTGTGCTCGCGCTCGGCCTCATCGTGGGGGTTGGCATTCCCTTTGGAGCGACCTGGCGCAAGCAGAGTACACGATCCAAGAGCCTGACTGACAAGGCTATCTCTTTTTAAAGTTAAGGTGAGCTACTACTACGAGGAGGTGGCCGCTGCTCCGTGGCTAAGCTGCTTGTCTTCACTGGAATAATCATCGGATATCAATCGTGTGGGCAGGCGCTTTCTTTTCAGATCTTACTATGTGAACTTCCAGACTTCAAGTTCAGACCTTGTGGTTGCTATGCGCCAGATCTACCTGATCTCCGACGAAGGAGAAATCAGGACTTCCTGCTAATTCGGTGCGCTCGATGCATTCAGAATCTGCTAATGCGTCCAATGTGACAGCCATCAAAGTCTCCAGGAAACAGCCACGCCGCCCCAACGGCCCCAGCGCAGCGAGAGCCCAGAGGAGCCCCTGCACTTTCCTCCTCTCCTCATCTGCGTAGCGTGCGTGTGACACATCGCAGTACATGCCTATGTTCATGTACAAAAGTACGCCTAGCTGTTTGGCGGTCCGGCCTGAGAATGCTAATTTTTGCAAGGCCCGCAGGGGTTCGTCGCGACGGAGACCGTCGCGGCGGCGTGAACGAGAGGCGAGGAGAAACCCTCGTGTCGTGAGACTGGTGGGCTTTGGATTTCATCTAACTTCCGCACCCAAGAAGACTTGCAGGAGCCTATGTGCATGCTAAGGTTCACCAGTGCCGGGTGCAGCAAAACATGACATGTGCTTCGGACAGGACAAGGTTGTTGTGTTGTGCTATGGTTCATCCAAAACCTGGGCTGTTCCGCGCAGGTTAAGCCGCCCATGAACGTCTCCAGCAGTACCGACGACACGGGTCCCGACTTCTCTGCTGAAGATTGGAGCGTACTTTCCCAGCCTGGCAAAGTCGACAAGGCACGGAAGACTGACGTTCAAGCTTGAGACAAGACTGCATAAGGTCATAGGAAAATGTCCGGAAAGTCACTGGTGAGCCCAAGCCACGGCCAGTCAGCTGAACGTGCACAGAGCACCGAGCGCATCCGAGCCCATGCGTCATGCGTCGCTTCGTTTTGGGTCATGCGAGCTCCCCGCAGGCATCCTTGTGCTTCACGCAGCTGCCCAAGACGCCACAAGAACATGTGGCAAGTTCAAAACAGATCCCAAGCTAAATGGTGACTGTAGATTGCAACTTGTGGTAGTTTCGTGGGGGCTCGCTTTGGTCTCGCGAGAGTTGCCGCCTAGCAAGAACAGAATCCACAAGCAGAGGATGTCCTCCGACGAGTCCGACCACTCTGCAAAGGGTCTGCGAATGCAGGCAGAGCTTTTGGCAGACAAGACAGGACGCCCCCCAGAGTTTGGGGAATTGACTCGAGGCCCGAGGCTCTTTAGGATTCTTCCTTCGCTCGGCCTGCAAGGACAAAGACATAGGCTCTCCACCGAGAGCCGGGGCCTTGCCCGTAGCGCTCTTGATGGCCCGCGCATAACATGTGAAAGCCCAGGCACCACGGCCGAGGAATCCACCTCGTCGATGTCGAGTATCCTTCGAGTCAAAGAGGAAGTCCCTCGTGACAGTCTTCGACAAAGCCAGTCACGTCCTTAGCTGCTCACATTCCTGAATTCCGGTGCACGGCAGCGCTCAACCTTACTGCCGACCTGAACGGACCTGCCACCGCGGCTGTTAGAAACCCTGAAATGTCATCTGCAGCACATTCGACCCTACGATACTCCCATGCAGTAGCACAATTTCTGATTGGAGCCTAGCCCGAGGAAATGGTTATTGAGAGGAAGCTGAGGTCAGCTCGAACCTGAAACAAACAACCCGGGCCTGAAAGAACAGGGCAGGAAAGGAGGGAGGAGCCCCAGCTCAGATCGGCCTGGAACCTGAAAAGTAAGCTCCTGCTTGAAAGATCCCCGAACGAGATTGAGACCGCGAGTGTGATGGAAGAGAGTATTCTCAGGGCAGCTCGTCAAGAGTGGCTCGCCCTGCTCGCAACTGCACAATCTCGTTTAGCAGTATCACACCAGCACAGATGACTGTCCTCAGGTACTACCAAACTCCCAAGAAACGTCCCTACGGACCAGGAAAGCAATCACCCTCTAACTCTAGGCGAAGGGAGCAAAACACGGGAAGACCACAGCCTCAAAGTTAAAAGTGTCTACTGCCCTCCAAATGCAGCCGAATGTGCTCGTGGCAGCCGTGCTTCCGAGGAAAACTTACAGTTAGGCCGGACGCCCACCATTATCCATCCAAACAGAGGATAAATGTTCACATAGAGGGTTTTAGTAACTTCATGCTGAAACCGGTTCCGATGGTTTCGTGCCGTCAGGAACTTGAAGTCTTCACAAGTCCAAACCCTGCAGCCTAAACGCAGCATCCCTGAACTTAAGTGTTTGCTCTGTCTGCTATACTGATGCTTCTGTGGCAATGGCAAACCTGGGTCCATTTCTCAGGTCCAAGCCCGATGCCGTTCGTAGCTCACGGGGGCGTTCCCCCGACGAGCCGCAGGACAAGGAGTCCAGGAAGTCCAGCTGCGCAGCTGAAGCTATGAGAGTTCTGCAACGTGCAAGCTTTGAGCACCTGCAGTGCCGCAAGAAGCAGGTGCTGGAAAGCGCGCAGTTTCCTTTGATGCCAAAGTTGAGGTGCCGTGCATGGCATGTCCCATGTTTTCACAGCAAGAGGCGCTCAAGCAGACGCATAGCGAGTGTTGCAGGTCCAAAGCATGGAGGTCAAAAGCCGTGAGCGATCAAAGAAGCGGACCACAAGCCAGAAGCAAAGCTCATCTCCAGCCTCAAAGAAGGACCAACTGAAAGTGCCGCAGCCTTCACTTTGCACACCAGAGTCGAAGAAGCTAGTAGACCTCGGGGTACATGCCCGAACATGCACGAACATGGTAGAGCGTTCGTGCTGTGTGCAGGATCCCAGGGCGCGGCGGCGCGGGCATCTGCGCAGCCGATCACCACAGTCTGATGCCTAGGGAACCGACAAGCCGTGACGGATGAGGCATGCCGAAGACACAGTGTTAAAAATGCGTGTCACCCAATATGTTGATGAATCTGCAGCGCCTCTTAGATCATCACTGCTGTTCCAAAAGTCCCAACCGTGTCGACCTGGTCAGTGTACCTTGTTTATCTATCTTGGTCTGACTTTGTCTTGTGCGAGTACTGTACAGCCTTGGTCAATTGATGCATCACTATTTCACATTGCCTCCGTCCCGGTTTGGAAAGGTTTGCGATCAAGGGCTCCGGTCGCCTCCGAACTCCTCGCGGCAAGCTTTACAATCCAGTCTAGGAGAACCCTACGCTGCAATAGTGAGACGATGAGGCCCTTTGAGGGCAGATTGTCAGGGAGTGTCTTTCAATAGTACTATCTGCTAGGCACCTGGCAACATGTTCCGTAGGATTCTAGCACGGAAGGCTTACATTCGTGGGAGAGCGGAGAATTGGAAGCCTGGGATGCTTCTTCCACAGCCTCGAAGAGTGGTACCCGTAAGCCTTAGCCGGAGATGTCGATGGCTCCCGGCGGCTTTGCCATCTTTGGGGCCGAAACCTCAGAGTCAGCGAAGCATTCCGCCGACAGCGCCAAACTGCCACTCTTGCACTGAGGATTCAAACCGAGCCAGTGGGGGTGCAGCAGCACGGCGCCGCGAAAGCTCCGCAGAGGTGCCCATGGTGCCCTGAGATGCTCCTTTCGTATTCCCTTTGATCTTGCCAGCTGCAGCCTTGAGTGAACATGCGTCAGACACCTCCACGTTCTTGGCAGGCCAGTGCTTTGTTGGCCTGACTACGAGATGACATGCATCTCAGGCTGAAGAATACAAAGATTGCGAAGTGATGCGAAGTCCAGGGTTCTTTTGTGTTTTCCTTGGCAGAGCTTCTTGAGACCTTCAAGGCAAATGCGGGCTTCTTTTGCGTCTCATTTGTGCACACAGAGAGAAGGACCTTTTCGCCCTAAGATGCCCTGAGCAAACGCTGCCGGCTTTCTGCACGGCGGAAACAACAGGTTCGCCACAGGCTCCAGAGCATGTCATACTCTGATTCCAATCGGAACGGTTTGCAGCTGGCACAATCGTCCTTGGGGCCGTGCATTCTTCCATACTCCTCCTGGGTTAGATGGTCACGGAATGGCGCGGGTGTGGTCAGGAAGCTGCAGGCTGGAACTGGAACACCCGTAGCTCTATGAGAATGAGTCGGAATGAGTGAGGATGCTAATCGTTTGATGCCTTAGCGATGCAGCAAGTGCGCAACTCTCCATAAACTGCAACCCACACAAAATTATCCTCAGCCTCCGCACGAACCTTCGCAACCTCCTGAGCTCCGAGCATGGCCGGCCGAAAAGCCAAGTGACCAGAAGCCGTGGCTTGCTCCTACAACTGTTGTTGCAGCCACTGCAACCCATTCTGGAAGCGGTCTGAACCTTAAGCATGTGCTCAGTCGCAGACTTGGAAGCCATGTGAAGGTGAAAGGGCACGATACCGGCAGCACTCGGAGTCGGCGTGACTTGCATGAATGTTCTTAATGTGGCCATGGACGTGAGTGGTTCACCATTCCTCCGCCTGGCAAGATCGCAAGCCTCAGGCGGGTGACATGAGAAGCCGGAAGATTCCAGACTAACCTGTGCATCCTGTGCGGTGCGATCCGGCACTCGCAGACAGATCATGCCTGTTTACCGTGCCATTTGGCATTCTGACCGTTGGGCGCCTTGGGTGAGAAGGAATCATACATTGACGTTTCAATTTCTCCGACGCGTGTGCCAATAATGGTGAGGAGAGGGCAAAGCTGTGGATTGACAACATCTTCTGCACCGCCGTGCGAAAATGGGAAGCCCGTGTGCTGCATGTAAGTTCACCCCGTCGGGGTAGCCGAGATGAAGAAAGCTCGAAGGATCCGTAGCATGTTACGATCAATGATCCGGCAGGCTGATTCACCAACCTGACGATCCAGCCACCGTTTCTGTGCTCGCCCCCAGGTTGAGTTTGAGTTGCCGCATCCTGGCTTGGTTGCGAAGGTATGGAGTCCCGTCAGAACCAAAAAGGACACTGTGTCGATAAGAGGTACTTTTTCCGCGATTTCTCGGGACTTTCAACACAAGTTTCTGCTGGCGCAGGCAAAATTACAAGTGCGCCGGGGTGTCTCAGGACAGGTCATGTGGTCACCATCCAAGAATGACAGCAGCTCCAGGTCTGACAACGTGCCTGACAAATTGGGTGGTTCTGATGGCCCTGAAACCTGAAGAATTTAAAGACCATCATTCTTGCACAGCTTGGTCCAATCTTCCCGTGTTGTAGACGGAGGCGGTGCAAGTGTAGGGGAATGAGATGATGTTTCGTGCCGCTGCTGACTCAGAGCAAATTGGGACGCCCGCAAGCTTCTGGCGTGTCGGGTGCTCTTCGGATGTAAGGTTCAAGGTCAAGCTTCCACGACCGTAGGGAGGTAGTGTAGTGCAGCTAGCAACTTCATGTCGTGGCAAAATGCAGGCATTCCCATCAATTCTTGTGGTTTGAACTTTGCGTTCAGATCGAATGTTTGCATGGGTGGGCCGACCACCATCTTCCGGTAAGCCAACCAACCCCTTGTTCTGTCGGCCCTTGTGTAGGGCTGTTGAGGTTGCATGAACTTCGTGAACAACCGGTGCCACAGCCAAGTCTCGAGGACCAAGCCTTGGTGCTATTAGTGGCCGCGCCAGACACGCATCGGCCGTCACAAGCGGCTTCGTAGCTTCTGTTCCATGAGCGATAGAAAAGTCCCACGCCTGGAAGAGAGCTTGCAGGCTCCCTCAGCCGAATCTCTCTGCAACATTCTGCAACTGTAGTGCTGCAAGGGTTCGGCTCTGGTGGACTTCGACGCTTGCAGTCGGTTCCAACTGTCGGGAAACCTGTGGACTTTGGCTTTGACGGTGTCCTTGCGGCCTGTGGCTTGGCTAGTCTGAAGGCCATGCAAAGTAGCAGGCAGGGTTGAGAGAGCCACAATGCTCAGGAATTCGAGGGTCACAGCTTCATGCTTCACGGTAGCGACCGATGCTTCCTGCTTGTTGTCTCAAGGCCTCTTAGCATGCCAGTGCGACTGCTCTGGTTTGCGACGTAGGCAGCGCTAGAGATTTCGGAGCGGGCGTCACCTCAACCCATCAACAGCCTTGCCCTGAACCCCAGGCTTGATCAGAAGCACAAAAAGGCCCCGGTGCCAACTAGCAGCTAGTGCGGCTTTCCAGGCAGATCCACAGGGCTGTTTTGCCCTTGCAGAGCCTTTTCCCGCACCAACACCCCAAACGAGCCTATAGGATAGCGTCCTGGGGCTGTTTTGCCTTTGCAAGCTAGCGCAGCTGTCGAGGCCTTTGCCATCAAGGGCAATGGCCCGACACCAAATGAGATTTTGAGGTTTGCCGTGCCTATATTTCGCACACCCAGTCCTAAGCTTCACATAGAGGAGGGCCTGCATAACTGTAAGACTCTTTTAAAGCTTGGCTCCCGCCCTCTCCACACTGGTGGACGCCCAGTGCGGTCGGTTATTGGGTTGTTGCTTTTGTGTGCAGGGTACAGTGCCACCACAGTAGTCGAGTTTGTTCCATCCCATGCACCCTTGCTGAAGCTTGCTCAGAGGAGCCGAAGTCCTCAAGAACCAGCAAGCTAGCGCAGCTGGCGAGGCCTTTGCCATCGGGGGCAATGGCCCGACACCAATGAGATTTTGAGGTTTGCCATGCCTAAATTTCGCACACCCAGTACTAAGCAAATTCACTTAGAGGAGGGCCTGCATATCTGTAAGACTCTTTTAAAGCTTGGCTCCCGCCCTCTCCGCACTGGTGGACGTCGAGTTCGGTCGGTTGTTGCTTTTGTGTGCAGGGTACAGTGCCGCCACAGTAGTCGAGTGCTGAAGCTTGCTCAGAGGAGCCGAAGTCCTCAAGAACCAGCAAGCTAGCGCAGCTGGCGAGGCCTTTGCCATCGGGGGCAATGGCCCGACACCAAATGAGATTTTGAGGTTTGCCATGCCTATCTTTCGCACACCCAGTCCCAAGCAAGTTCACATAGAGGAGGGCCTGCATAACTGTAAGACTCTTGTTCGTCGTGATTTTCCATATCCGGCGCTTGATGCACCCTGCAGTTCAGTATGAGCCCGAAAATGCATGTCACAACTGCCGCATCCATCCTCATCGCTTGAGATGCCGGGGCTGAGGCGAAGGCATCGGCGTTCGGAGCAGGATTTTCCAGGTTCCAGTCCCCTCCTCCGGAACCCAAGGCTGAGCATGGTCAATGCCAATGCCCGTTTCCCGATTTCAGCTGCGCAGAATCAGGGCCGCTGTCAAACGGTGACTCCGCGCGCGTACAGTGTCAGTTCCAAACTTATTCTCCCGATCTCACCACATTGGTGGATGCCCACATCGATCGGTTATTTGTTCGTGCTTCTGTGGACTACGGACAGTAGGGCCACTCTAGTCGAGTTTGTTCCGTTCCTTACACCGTTGCTGAAGCCGGGGCTTTCGCCATCTCGGCGATGGCCCCAGGCCAAATGAGATTTTGAGGTTTGCAATAACCACACCTCGCCCCAAATGCCGTGCCGCGAGTTTGGCCAACCTGTTGTGCAGAGAATTCACATCAAACCTGAAGGCTGGCTGGCTGGTTAGGTCCCCAAGTGGCCCCTCAGAATCACCAGCAAATATGTCGCCGCCCCGAAAGCTGATTCGATTTCTCAACCTGGTCTCTTGCCCAGGTGCTGAGCCTGGCACACCGGGTTCCAGACACGTCTTCGGATTCGAAACAGGTCGTGCAAGACTTTGCCGACAAAAACTACTGCTAGGCTCTTTAACATAGCCACATTGTTCGCTAACTGCATCCGGACAAGACAGCCCGTGCGAAGTGCGCGCATGATTCGCCGAGAAGCTGGCCACCGCTCAAAAGAATTCAGTTCTGTCGGACACGGGAAGCTGGCGGCTGGACGGCGCCCGCAACAGTTCCAAGCTTAAGCTCCCGACCTCACCACACGGGAT